CTGACTGTCCCATTGACACATAAGTGAACCTCATATCAAAGTCACAACTTGCTAGAACGTTTTGAGTAGGTATACCAGACTTTCCAATATATCTTACTTGATCGTCAGGTGGCAACGAAACTCGGATATGAGTACCATCTAGAGCACCAATGCAATCTTTGAAATGTGGATATGCTCTACGGTCATCTCTTATCCTCATGTGAACAGTTCAGAAGTTGGGGTCCTTTGGTCTAATAAAATCTCTAGACATATCCATGAAAGCATTCAGTACCTCATCAAATTTCCTACGAATAGTTTCACCCGAGTGCTTGAACCGGTTTTGTGCTTTTCTATTAGATTCTTTTCTAGATAACACAAATAAGAACACTGCCAACATCTCCAGAGTGTTTATATGTAGGGATGGTTTCAGACCATACCTTCCAACCAATAAATCATGAAGGTCGTAGAACATCTGTGTGCTCATCCGAAGCTGCGAATGACATTCTCCCGGTGTGTTAAGCGTCTATAGCAACCAGCCCATACCACTAAGGAGTGATGTCCTAGGTGGATTTTTGTCACAATATAATTCAACATAAGCTGCAGCAAGTTTAGCACCAGCCAATACAAGATTCCAAAATGCCATGCTCTCATTGTCAAAGGTATCAGTTTCATCATCACTCTGCATAGAGGTAAAAAAAAGGCCATGCAGGATGCCAATTAGAGACAAAACAACAACACAGAGAGAGAGAAAGGACATACACAGAGAAAAAAGGTCCAATAATGGTCAAAATAGTAGCATACAGTAGCATACATGGTTCCAGGTTCCAGGTTCATACAGGTTCCAGGTTCCAGGTTCATACAGGTTCCAGGTTCAAATAGAGAAAAAATAGCATCAATAGTAGCATACAGCATACATGTACATGCACCAGAAGTAAAAATAGCGACCTGTTCAAGCACTACATGGTTCCAGGTTCCAGGTTCCAGGTTCAAATAGAGAAAAAATAGCAATACATGGTTCCAGGTTCAAATAGAGAAAAAAATCTCATTGTGGCAATGTCATACAGGTTGCCAGAAATAAAATAATAGCATACAGGTTGCAAAAAAAAACTAACTTCCATATTTGTCATTGTGCCTCTTCCTAAGCCAATTGAGCCTAATTTCTCTAGTAGGCAAGGTCATAAATATTTCTCTGTGTTCCTTCTTCACAAACAGCTGGGTGGCAATGTCATGCTCATCTGAACCATACGCCGCACCACAGTCCTTCACATGCTCCATTATTTCCCTGATGGTGATCCCTTCTTGCTTCTTTGCTGTAAATGAACTTGAACAGTCAGATATCTTCGAAATTGCTTCAACCATTAGAAGAGCTGTGCTTGACTTTGCCTTTTTCCTATCCACAGCAGCAACACGAGGTTTTTTATTTGGAACCGCACTTAGAGTGACTTCCTGAACCTCCTCATCCCCCTCCTTGTTGGCATCAAATGGGTCACCTTGGCCATTATTCTCTCCATCAACATATTCACTGTCGTCTACATCAAAAGGTTGCTCTTGGCTAGTAGGGATAATAGGATTGTCCCTGAAAGGGTTCCAATGATCTGCTTTCTCATTTGTAATATTTCTAAACATTTCTCTAAGCAAATCCTCATTTTGGATAGGCTTTTTCCTGAACTTGACACACCCTGGAATATCCTGTAAAAACAAAAACACTAGTGGTCAGGTCTATTGCAAAAACAAAAACACTAGTGGTCAGGTCTATTGCAAAAAGCAAATCCTCAATCTGGAATCTGGTTACTTCAGGATTTCAAATCCTTGTCCTCAGGTCTATTGCATTGATGGTCAGCTAATTAACTGTAATATTGTTGTTCTGAATGATCTTAACTCTATATTGTCAATTTCAAATTTGCATTTTTCATTCAACTGGTTGGTATGAGCTGTGGAACTACATTAATAGTGATAAAGCACGTGACTTTGGGGTTATTTGGCATATCTCTAGACCTGGGATCTATGCATGATTTGTAGTTTGCAGGATAAAATAGAATGGTTTAAAGATATGATCTAAAATAATAACAAAGTTGCTCAATCAAATATGTTCTAATGCCCAGGGCTCTAGATCTAAGAATTTCTGGAGCTAGGGACTACCCCAAATATGCGGTTTAAAATCTTCATCAGTACAATGCATTGTACCATTCTCTACCTTTCTATCTATAAATGCCAAGTTAGATTGCTGATAACTGATGGGCCTTGAAGATTTTTTATTGTAGAATTACAGAAGGAAAATTAAATTCTTCAAGAAAATATCAGAATAAAATTAACAGCACATCAACTACAGATACAGATAAACATGGAAAATTAAATGCCAAGTTAAATTCTTCAAGAAAAGATCAGAATAAAATTATCAGCTGATAGCACTCACATTTTTTACTTTCTTCCACCACTCAGCCTCCATGTCAATTGTTTGGGTCGCATTGTTCCAACCAGTACCTGTTTGCCTCCTCTTCAACTTTAGCCAAATGGTCCAATCAACCTTTAATTTATCCCACTTGTTCTTAATTTGAGTCTTTGATAATGAGATACCAGTCATTTGCAAAAACCTAGCTGAGACCTTAGTATAACCTACAGAGTTCAAATGAGTATTTGGACGATTGCCTCTACTAACTTGTTCAGCCATCAACTCGCAGGCTAATTGCAAATGTGCATCGTTCCAGTCCATTTGATCACACTGACCATGATATTGCAATAGTATGTTCAAGCACTCAGGACAATCTATTAAATTTTGCTACCACTGTCGCACAAATACTATCTATTCAAGGCATCATGAAGCTCATTTTGAAGTTTTACAGCAAGGAGCAATACCTATTCATCTTTCTTCTTCGTTGGTAGTGGTCGTTTGCGTGAAGCACATGCCAGAGGGCGTTGGTCGGCCGTGGCTTGTGGGGCGGCCTGCCCTGATCGGCCAGCAGCTGGTCCTGGACGGGCACCACCCATCCTAGCCTGGACGGAGGCCACCGGCGGCGCCGCCGGAGGAGGCCGCGCCAGCCCCACCCTAGGCGCCGGCGAGCTTCCTCGACCCACGGACACGCCGGCAGCAGCTTCATGCGAAGTTGGGGGAGGGAAGACGGGGGGATTTGGGGGGTAAGAAAAGAGAGGATCCAGTTTAGGATCAACGGATCTATCTTCTCCGTCCATCACCTGGCCGGATGTCTTGCCATGGCGGCCGGAATGAGCGACGACGTCGCTAGGGTTTGGGGAGGACGGGCTGGAGCAGAGGAGAGAGGCGACGGGAGTAGAGGAGGATGAGGGCGTCGAGTGGGGGGGCGACGGAAGGAAATAGAACGAAACGATATTTGTGTAACGAGTGGCAATTGCGGGTAATTACCTCCAACTCCACGAGGACATACGAAACGCTGGTTTGTGGAGTACCCTCTGAGGAGCTCCACGAAAAATATGGAGTTGGACCAAAACTCCATCTTTTTTTGGGAGCAGAGTTTGTGGAGTTGGACCTGTTTGGCAAGAAAGTTTGGGAGCAGAGCTACAAAAGGTGGAGCAGAGCAGTCCTAACAGGCCCTAATGCTTGCTCTATCCTGTTTCAATTTTTTTCTTTGCTTGCTCTATCGGGTTAAGAGCTTAGCCCAAACCAACCCGCCTACATCCCAACTCGGCGATTCTCTGGCTTGGGTCCGGGTTGATCATCGGTTTTGTCAACCCATGAAGAGCTATCCCGGCCCGGTTGGCCCACAACGACATCGGTTTTGTGTTGCTTCTCGTCTACTACCCATCCCCAACGTCAAGGCTCGACGAGACTTCGACTCGCGGACGCGTTTTCTGTTCGCCGAGCGCTCGAGCAGGCGTCGAGCGGGAGGCGGGCCAGGAGCTAGCGATAGCCGCCGCCCGCCGCCCGCCGTCTCAGCGGATCCACGCTCGACGGATCCACGCTCGGTAGGCCACTGGCGCCTTTCGCCTAACTTCCACCGGTCTGCTGGAGTGGTGGGGAGATCCATGATCCATCCGCCTTGGATCGATCTTTCTCTACTTGGTAATTAAGGAATGACTGGTGCACAGACTGGCCTTTGTTCTGCACAATCGTGATTTAAATCCGAATCTATGCTGCCATATCGTGATGAATTAAATCCGAATCTGTGCTGCCGTACCGTTTCTTTGCCACGAGAAATCAAATCAGATTATTTGAAGATGAGATTAACCTTGGAAGGTTCCTGATGATTGCAGGGAGAAGAGAGTTTATCCACACAGGCAGCTATGTTGAAGAAGATTGGGTTGCCCCCGAAGCCGTCCATGCGAGGCGCCACATGGGTGGTGGATGCATCCCACTGTCAGGGTTGTTCTGTTCAGTTCTCCTTGTTTACTAGGAAGGTAATCTCTTGTTTTTTCTCCCTTGCAGTGATGGTATTCTGAATAGATGCGCGCCCGGCAACCCTCCTTTTTCTGTTTTGTTAATTAAAAGCTTAATTTAGTTCTCCTCCATAATCCCATAAACTGTCATGGTTGGTTTATTTCATGGGACTCCTATTTTTTTTTTGGTTCAGTTACGTTTATGTATGCTGCTTGTTTCAATTACTTGCTCCACCACTAGCAAAACTCATGAAGTGTTAGACTACAAGTCTACAAAGCAAATTGATTAAATAAATTCATTGATTGTTGATTGTCGAAACTATAATTGCTGTGTTTGGTTCATGTTCTCCATTGTTTTTCCTTCAGTCATTTTCCGCTTGTAATGCTTTTCCTTCTGCCATTTACTGCTTGTAAATATGGTCAGTCATGAAGTTAAATGCTTGCTATGAAACTTTTGAATCCACTGCCTAAAAATGTCTCACTTGTTTGTTTCAATAAATTAAATGCTTGCATTGCCATGTTCATGGTGTTTCTGAATTTGCCATTCAATTGAAAGTTTATCTTATTATAACATAATGGTCTCTGCAGGAGGTGTTAACTTTTGTGTATTTGACATGTAGCACTATTGCCAAAGATGTGGGGGCTTGTTCTGCAGCAGCTGCACCCAGCAGAGGATGGTTTTACGTGGACAGGGTGATTCACCTGTTAGAATTTGTGATCCTTGCAAAAAGCTTGAGGAAGCAGCACGCCATGAGTTGAGATATGGGCACAAAAATAGAGCTACAAGAGGTCTATTTTCTTTTTCTTATCCTTCTGATCAGTCATGTGTTTCAGTGAATAAATGTGATTTGGTTGACACTACTGCTATGAAATATGTTTAAATAGTACATTTGTGGAAATCATAATAAACCAATAGCAATCAAGGCCGTGTTGATTGAAATCTGACTATCAGCATGGAACCCAATGGAGATGCAGTTTTACATTGAAATTTGGCTCTCATCATAATATAAATCACGTTTAACCATTTTAGGTGCTTGTGCACAAGGGGTTTGGGCTGGTTGGTATTATTTCTTTTTTTTTTACATTTTATTATGCTTTATGGGAACTATATCGTTATGCTCTGAAACACAGTGCTTATTGACACTGTATCCTACTTCTCACTAGTGAACAATTAATCAGCTTTGAAAATATTTTGTTCTATCTCAGGGAAATTATTTTATTCTGTGGTTTACCTTTTATTAGCTACAGCTACAAGTGCTTACGTCCTAACCAGTTGCAATGACATAAGTTTGATCTTTGATCTGATATACTTACAAAGATCTATTCGTACATATGTAAAGGTGTACCTTTTTCATATTTCTATATTACATGCAGTATTTTGCTTATCATTATATTGCACATGAAAAAATCTCAAAATAGGATTAGGATCTATGGGAGCTAACATCTATAGTGAAATTATTCAAATAAAATAGTGTGTTATGCATGCATGGGACTGATCTATGATAAATGGTGCACAATCAAACCAAGAGAACTTTTTGGTCTTACCATGGAGATATTTTTAGTATGTAGTTGTCATCTATGTTTCTTATTATCTGAGAAAGATTTTTAACATAAAAAATCCTTTCTACCTATTTCTACAGCTACCACAAAATCTGCTTCGAAACCAGAGGATGAAATTCTAAGTGAAATTCTTGGAGGTGGAGAGCGTATCCAATCTCTGGATTCTGAGCTTCCTGGGAGAACCACAAGCAGTGCCAGTACCTCCAGAAGAACTTCTAATTTCAGTACAAATGCAAATGGAGATGAAAGCTTTTCTGCTGAAGCACACAACTATGAACTCAACGATACTGCATCTATTTTTACCCCAGAGGAGTTACGCCAACAAGCTGTAGAAGAGAAGAAAAGGTACAAAACTTTAAAATCAGAAGGTAAACCAGAGGAAGCACTGCGGGCTTTCAAGCATGGTAAAGAACTTGAGAGGCAAGCTGCAGCGCTGGAATTAGAATTGAGAAGGAGTAGGAGAATGACTACAAAAGCACCTAACGTCTCTGCTGCTGTTGGTACTTCGACGACTACTGGATCTGATGAGGCTGAAACAAAAAGGTCTTCAACTGGGAAAAGGATTAAGAAAGAAAAGAATGATCTTGCCTCTGAGCTCAGAGATCTAGGCTGGTCAGATGCAGACCTTCGTGATGAAACAAAGGCTGCCCCTATGAGTCTGGAAGGAGAGTTGTCACAGCTTCTTAGAGAGGTGGCCCCCAAACCATTGGAGGGCAAGAGAACAGGTGGTGTTGATAAATCTCAGGTTAATGCTCTGAAGAGGCAAGCTTTACTGCTAAAGCGAGAAGGTAGGCTTGCTGAAGCAAAGGAAGAGCTCAAGAAGGCTAAAATTTTGGAAAAACAACTCGAGGAACAGGAGATTCTAGGTGAAGCAGAAGACTCAGATGATGATTTGGCTGCTATTATTCGGAACATGGACGATGATAAAAATGATGACATATTTATCGATGATCCAAAATTCCCTGCTTTCAACTTTGAACAAATTCTGGGTGCCTCTAATGATCTTGCCACTGATGGCCACTTTGATGTTACAGATGATGACATGAATGACCCAGATATGTCTGCTGCCCTAAAATCATTTGGCTGGAGCGAGGAGGATGACAAACAATTGGAAAATCTTGAACCTGTTTCTTCTTCAAATCAAGAGGTACTCAAGGAGCAAGTACTTGCTCTAAAAAGAGAGGCTGTTGCAAACAGAAGGTCTGGTAATGTTGCAGAAGCCATGTCGTTGCTTAAAAAGGCAAAGCTACTTGAGAAGGATCTTGAAACTGAAGAGCCAGGCTCAAAGGTTCCTTCTCCAGAAGGACAGAAAACTACACATGCAGAAGATGCCACTTTTGCAGGGATGAATGCCCGACCTATATCAGCGCCAAAAAGTAAGCTTGCAATTCAGAGAGAACTGTTGGCTCTGAAGAAGAAGGCACTAGCTTTGAGGAGGGAAGGGAAGGTGGATGAGTCTGAGGAAGAGCTGAAAAAAGGTAGTGTTCTTGAAAAGCAGCTTGAAGAGCTTGAGAATTCCTCCAAACCACCTGTAGCAAAGGAAACCAGGAGCTTGCCATCTAATCCCCCGTACAAGGTTGAACCCCCAAATATCAGTCTTGCTGATGAGGTATATGAACCTGAGGTTACAGACAATGATATGCAGGATCCAGCATTGCTATCGGTGCTCAAAAATATGGGATGGGAAGATGCTGGTTCAGATTCTGTGGAAACAATTGACAAACCATCAATTTCTTCACATGTAGTTCCTCATAAATCATCAAAAACTAAGGGCCAGCTTCAGAAGGAATTGCTTGGTATAAAAAGGAAGGCTCTTGCACTCAGACGGGAAGGGAAAACCACTGAAGCTGAGGAGGAACTGGAGAAGGCTAAGGTCTTGGAGCAGCAAATTGCAGAGATCGAAGAATCAAATGACTTGAGTGCTAGTCAAAGTGTTACTACTGCTGGCCATCAGATTACAGAAAATAAGTATGATGTTCAGCATATCCCTGGTGTTGATGCAACTGTACACCCATCTTCAGTAAGAAACGCAATGAAGGGGGACGAAATATTGCCAGTGCATGCATCTGAATCTGGTACGTCAGTGGTTACTCTATGTGGTTCTTCAAGAAAACCGCAGATTGCGACAACCAATTCTAAACAAGGTGATGTGGGAGAAGAAAGTAGAGCTGGAAGCTCTCCAGCCTTGTCACAGCCAGCTTTTACTGATCCCTTGGGATCTGAAAAAGGGTCACATTCACCTTCTGTAGTACATGATCATAATGAGCATCAGAAAACACAAGGAGATGATACTCTTAAAGATGAGATATTACTTCATAAGAGAAAAGCAGTTGCCTTTAAGAGAGAAGGGAAGATGGCAGAAGCTAGAGAAGAATTGAAACTGGCTAAACTCTTAGAAAAGCGTCTTGAAGGTGCTCAACAAGACAGCATGGATGGTGTGGGTGACTCCATTACTCCTGCTGTAGAACAGAACAGTGTGGTCCAACAACCTTCTAGCTCCAGCAATCACACTGACGATGTAACTTCTGCCCCTCCTGCACAAGTGAGCAAGTCGACGCAACCTCAGAAAGCAATGTCCAGCCGTGACCGTCTCAAAATCCAACGCGAATCCCTCGCTCACAAGCGCAATGCCCTCAAGTTGCGGAGAGAAGGCAAGACTGCAGAAGCAGATGCAGAATTCGAACTTGCCAAGGGGCTAGAGAGCCAACTGGAAGAGTCAGGCAACCAAAGTTCAAGCACCGGGGGCAAGTCAAGTGAACCAAACGACGCGATCGTCGAGAGTCTTCTTGATCCTCAAATCATGTCTGCCCTAAGATCCATTGGTTGGAGTGACACGGATTTATCCATGCAATCTTCTAGTGCACAACCTCTGAACCCCATGCAGCCCTCAAGTTCTCAACCTCCGCAAAAAGTGGAAGCAAAGTCATCTGTCGCAGCGACCAGCAAACCTCAGAGCGAGAGAAGTCAACTTGAAGAACAGATCAAGGCGGAGAAACTGAAAGCGCTTAACTTGAAGCGGGAAGGGAAACAAGCAGAGGCCCTGGAGACCCTTCGCTCCGCAAAGCGACTGGAGAAGAAGTTGAACTCAACTTAGCTAATCACACCCTCCCAGATTGCTCGTGTTCTTTGTCAGTTGTTCAATTTGGTTACCTGATATCCTAGGGTTCCAGCTAGAACATAGAACCATATTGAGTCTTGTCACCCTGTTTGGCACAATTTGTGAGCTTTGAGCACATAGCTTATGTCCTGTTTGTCTTGTGTGCTTTGAGCAGGCCCTTTTGTGTATGTGTAAATAAAATAAAATCTGATGGACGGTGATTCTTTTCACGAATTCATGTATACACAATGATGGGGAACGTCAATTATACAACATATACAAGTTGGAAATGTGAAAATTTCTCATGTTTGTCATTTGATAATGTTTCAATTCCTAAGTCCTAGAGGCAAACAAAAATATGAGGGGCCATCTACAAATCGTGGCAGTAGTCAGTAGATGCTCAATCCATCGGTCCATATGGACGTTTCCAAGCTCCCAACTTATGCTATTTGGCATTTGCACAGGATTCCAATGCCTCCGCCTTCCATGCTATTCGGCATTTCCATCTTCTCGCAGCCGGATTCCATCCCTCCGCCTTCCAATGCCGCTGGTATGGAATTTTTTGCCTACTCTCAAGTGCATATCTTGTCTTCTGTAGTAGTGATATGTTGGTGTCGTGATTGAGTGACTGTTATCTATGTCTTTTATTGATTGACTGTTATTGGCAACTACATAGAGAAAATTCAGACCTGTCCTAAAGAAGTTGCTAGTCAAGACTGATTCAGAAGTAAACTTCGTCTTCTGCAATACATCTGATCATCACATTGCTGGTTTATCCGTTATGTTACGTGCCTTGATAGATAGAAGCAGCTCACAGCCTCACACCACCCACTTGGAGTCTTGACAAACCAAAAATTCGTGAGCCATGTTATGTACATTGAGTTATTGGCAAGCTGCATACTACATAACTGTGTGATGGCTTTCTGAGTTTGTTGATCCATGGATCCATTTGCTGTAAATAGCTCCCAAGCACCTTGTTGATCCACAAAAATATGTGTAAGGATTATCCATTAGGTAGGACCAGGTGAACCCATCTGTGAAATTTGTTGTTCAGAATTAGATGCTACTGTGTGCTGTCTTGTTCATTGATTTCTGTGTAAATGGTAAGATTTATTTATATAACAGATTAGCATATTGCACCTGTATTTTTCTGCTGAGAGTTGATGGTCCAGCTAGTTTTTTTGCGGTAGTGTCTTATGTCCCTGGTGATCGAGTCATGACTGTTTGCATGGGTGAGGTAGACATATTCAAGATATTTTGACAGTACTGTAAGCTGTACAGTACTGATGTATACAACTGCTATCACTGTATTTATACAACTGAGATGGGAATGGAATTTGCTATGGTATATAAAAAAAATGGGCTCAAGCTTTGGCTGGAATCAGTAGCTAGCTTGTGTTCTTTTGTTAAAAAATTCTTGTTGAAAATGTAACGATCACCAACATTAGCTGGCTGCTATCTGTTTCTGTCAAGTTCAGTTCGGTCACTCGTCAAGAGTCAGACATGAGCTTTGGTACTATGTACCTCAAGCAATTTGACTTGTTAGTGAACAAATTTAATTTGGGCTAGTTTAAACGTGCCGTACCTGTAGTAATTTGGGCTCATCGTAATTTAATTTTGGGCTCATCGTCACCAGCGTGGGCGACATCGAGGTGGATCTCCACACCGACCGGTGCCATCTCACCACCAAGAACTTCCTCAAGCTCTGCATGTAAGCATCCCGTCCCGCGTCTAGGGCTTGTTTGATGTCTCGGGTTCGTCTGTAGTTCCTGACAACACAACACGGTTGATGATTTATGTACTGTCCTGTATCAAGCTGTTCAGTTGTCCAATTCGGCGTTGTAGGGCCACTATTGGCTTGATTGTAACTTTTGGGTTGCAATTGCAATAGGTATAAGTTGGTGAAGCTAGTCGCTAGTGGTGATCCTGCATCTATTCATAATTTACATCTAGTTTCATGGGATTCCTAATTCCAAATGTATTTAGCGGCTTACTGATTTCTAGGCTCATAGGTATGCTACCAGAAATTTCAAAATTATTGCGTTGCAGGCTTAGTACTGGACCTTTATAGAGATGATAGAGCCACAGCAATGACCTTAGGCGCCATCAAAGGATTGTATTTTGTTTCTTAGGTTTCTTGTTATCAATTTTTATGGCATTATGGGAACTGGATTTAGCTTGTACTGTGGTTCCTGCACTCAATTTCTTCCACATAATCTTGAATTTTCACCATTGGTGAAGTGCTTGAAGAATCGAAGATTATGCCTGGCTGCTCTTTTGTTATCACTTAATAATGGAAAATACCATCTCATGAATTTGAGATTATCGTTTCAGATAATTAGGGAACTTATTCTCTGGTTTTCTTCTTTGACCGACTAGAATGAAGTAATACAATGGGTGTCTGTTCCGCAAGGTGGAGAAGGATTTCTTGGCACTAACTGGCGATCCAACTGGAACTGGCACCGGTGGTGATTCCGTATACAAGTAAGTGATTCTTTTGATTTGAACTTTTTGAAATGTCTCCAAAGTTTCATCTCTGAACCATGTAATGCGGTATCCTACATCTAGATATAACTAGTGTCTTCAATGGATACAATACACATATAGTTTCGATAGACTCTTTCTTAGATGTTTGCTCTTTTTCATATGTATACAGTTATTATTATTGAGGTATCTTATTATTACATATTGTTATATGTATGCCTGAAAACTACATCTTATTTCCTCAGATTTCTCTATGGTGATCACGCTCGATTTTTTGATGCTGAGATCCGTCCAGAGTTAAGGCATTCAAAAACTGGAACTGTTGCTATGGCCAGTGCTGGTGAAAACTGCAATGCGTCGCAGGTGCAATGCCTGCCCCACCGTCTTAATTGATAATAATATTGGATGTTCTATTTTTCAGTATTTTGTTGCTTGTTTTGGCCTTCTATTTATGTTTTTTAATGTATTCAGTTCTACATTACCTTGCGGGATGACGTGGATTACCTTGATGATAAACACACTGTGAGTAGTACTTGATTCTGTTAACTGATATTTTTTTCCTTATGAACAGAATTCCTTTATTTGAACAATTCCTGTGTTTGTTCTGTTGACCATAGGTGTTTCGGATGGTTGCCGAAGGTTGCTGAAAATACACATAAATAAAATTCCTTCTATTTATGTGTATTTTGATCCTTTATTTGAACAACCAGTAGACTTTTCTCTTCCCATTGTCGGAGTCGTCTATACATCTCAAGAAGTTGCTGAAAATACCAATTTGGGAGATGAGGATCAAAATATGAACGCCTTTCGTGATAGTATTAATTGTTAATGGTTTCTAGCTAGAAGAGAGTGATTGGGAGAGGAGTGGAATTTGTAATAAAAATAACAAAATTTGTATGCACCATAATTATTTTTATTTTTATTTCTGCACTTACGCTCTGCGCTTATATATAATTTATCGGTTGAATATAAATTTGTATGTGAAGTGGCAGGGCAGTGCAACTAGCAGCAGCCACGAAGGTAGCAGCAGCAACAACGCAGCTAGCTGCACAGCGCAGTGAGAGGCTAGCAGCAGCAACAACGTTTTTTTTTTTTTTAAGATTCCAGCTATTTATTAGCTGCCTGTTTGGATGGGGTAATTTGGGCTAGCTAATTATTAGCTCTACTTTTAGCTGGCTAAAAATTAGCTCTAATCCAATCCAAACAGGCCGTAATTCTTGTGTCCATGTCTTGTGGTATTTTATTCAACTTTGTTTTTAAAATGGGCTGTTGATCTGTACTAACGGAAACGAAAAAAAAAACTATTACAAGAAAATCTTTACAAAAAGTTAACAAAACGGAGGCCTGAGCTGTTATCTCCATGGGCTGACCAAAACCGTGTACATAGCCCACAGGGCCACAGTCCACAGGCCCAGTCGAAACCTTCGTGCGGTGATGTATGTAACACGCCGCACGCGACCTCGACACGCACGCAGCACGTGACCGCCGTCACCCGCGACCTCGTTCCACACTTCCCACTCCCTCCCCCACCTGCCGAGACCGAGGCCGTCGCCGCCCGAGGCCTCGACATGCAGGCGGCAGGCGGCCACCGCGCCGCCAACCTTAGCTCCCCGTCACTCTCGCGCTTTCGGTGTGGCTTCCGTCTCCCCGGCCGCGCCCACCTCTTCTCTGGTAAGCCGCAAAACCCTCCGAGACCCAGGTTCTGGTCTTACCTTTGCTGCTTCGGTTGATTCGCGTTCCGTGTTGATGCGAGAGTAGAAAGCGCGGCGGCGGCGCCACTGCGCGTCGGCTCCCTGCCCCAGCCACGGACCCATGGCTGCGGCGGTTTGGCGCACCTCGAAGCCATGGATGGGGAGGCGCCGCGGCTGCCGCACGCCCTCTGGAGAATGCTTATCGATCATCAGGTGCGTTCGATTATGCTTTCGATTGCTGCAATGAGAATTGAATTGATCGAACTGTGAACCAACTACTTTAAATTTCACGTGATGTGGGTGTACAGTGGCAATGCATAAGCCCACATGGAGCACTGAGTCTTAGAGGTGACACACTGACATTGCAACTGAATACCCTGTTGATGTGGCTATGGCTATGGTATATGTAGAGTCATAGATTAGATAGCGTGTTCAATTCGAGGCACTTGTATTTTGTTTGTTCCTAGGCAGTTTGTGTGATACTTTTGCCCACCACCTGTAACTAGTTTGTGAATTGCAACCAGGCAGAAATATGGGCTTACATAGTTACATCTGAAGTGAGCAGAATTTCTGCTCATCGTGAAGAAAGAGGCTTGTTGCAGAGTTCACTGGTTTAGGGCACAGTGAGCATAATCTGCATAATTTTGCATACAGACAAAACTTTGTGCGGTTTAGTGCATTTACATTTCACTAGTGGAGCATATTCTTGCTTGCCTTTGCTTTGATATGCTGTTCTGCTCTCCATTCAGTTGTGTTGCTGTGTGGATGTTGACCCAGCATTATCTCTGCACTTGAAATTTGCCACTGCAGAAAATGGCATGT